TATACACAAAATGCATTTGGAAAATATACACACACAGACTGTAAAAACAAATGTGTATAACAGACGACATATGGACACACAGGCAGCTCAGGGGAAGATACAGTAGGCTATATGAGCTTTTTGGATGGTATAATCCATAATTGATGATAAAGCTGGTGATGTATAATGACCTCAGTGTATAACATCACAAGTTAGATATATGTCTACTGACGCTGCCCTTACTCACACTATTCTTCATTGGAGTTCACCCTGGAGACTCAGACTGCCAATACACATTCGTCATCCAGACATTCATCCCAGTGTACTGTTGATTCTCTCGATTCACTTTCCTTGTAGCCACCGATATTTACAGCCCCTACTCTGTTTGTAGATTTTCTCTGTGAGTATAGAATATTTGAAATGATTGATTAGACAATGAGAAAAAAAATTGTGAAAAATGGTCCATGTGTTGCTGTTGGCCAACACATTCTCTCCCAGCGTCCTTTTTGATACTACCACTGGGGGGCACCTAAGTAGGAACTTTTCAATATTCTGCACATGCATAGTAGCTGACAGACAAAGTAGTTTAAAACAATAGAAGATGTACAACATACACTACCGCTCTAAAGGGGTCACTTGTGTTTTTCAACTGACCTTTAGTAGATACAAACATGATAACTCAGACCCCAAATGTATTATTTACATGTTGACCCCCAAAAAGTTTAGTCAATTTCCCCACAGTGGTGCATGACAGAGGAGAATACCGTTTCCCACAAATACCCTTCCCTGAATTAGTAACTTGCAAGTACGTGACTCTGGTCATTTTTCAACCACAAAGATGCAACTATGCTCCCAATATTTTGGGAACCCCTTCTTTTTGGGCCCTCATCAGTCTACTCAGTGGTCAGAAGTCAGTCCATCGTATGTTCATCTGATATTCAATAATGCTAACCCTATACCAGACTTCAATTTCTATTTAGAAGTTAATTCAAGCTTGCTATAGACACTATTGTGCACTTGACACAGAAACAGGAACCTGTTCCTGTGTAATCTGCATAGATTTTGATGCTAAGCTTCCAGCTTTATTAACCAGTGGCTGGTGATTTCTTATGTTTTTATTTAACTGTTGCTCAGAGGGACCTTTGTCTCTTTCTGCTCTTTCAGGTGTCAGTCTGGTTGAATGACTGTACAGCATTTTGTTCTTTTTTCCCCAACCCTTCATACAAAATAATATCTATTAGTCTTTATGGCAATCATAATACCACCAATACAATTTCAGGTTACAGGTGGAAAGACCACTTTGGGACATCTAGCTCAGCTCCTAATTTCAATGTGGAGGACGACATTCATGTTGTAAGCAACACACAATGTGTAATTTTTAGGGAGATCAGTATTACAGTAATAAAATAATGTGGACTGACTATGAACACACCAGATATCTTGGCTGTTAAAATAAAGTTACAGCAGTCAGGTTTCTGTGTGAAGGTTCAGTGTCTGAAGGCCACAGGGTATGTGCATGTGTGTGTGTGTGTGTGTGCGTGTGTGTGTTTATATGTATGTACTGTATCTGGGGTCTCGACAACAAAAGGTGTTGCAGCGTTGCACAAGTGGAGTTACACTGTATGAATGAGCCTGATTGTTACAATCACAGAACATCACTGGTTGACTATTGCAAATGATCCATTTGTCTGACACTTGAACAGCTCTGTGAACTTTGATGCACACCAAACACCGCACATACTTGGGAGTTCTCCACATGGTGCCAGGAGGAGGAGGTGGAAGATCGCAAGCTTGATTTTACCGCAGATGTGCATATTAAAACACAGAGTGGGAAAAATGAAAGTGCCAAGGCCGAGACAAACAACATCACATGCTTTATCAAAGAGCAGCGTCCCATGGAACAAGCACAAAGAGCAACCAAACACTCACACAATATGCACACTCAGAAAAAGTGGTGGAGGAGGGATTAAGACTATTTAAAGGCCAAATGTAGACTGAGAAAAGCAGTGGAAAGGAATAATAATAATACTTTAAGGGAAATGTCAATGCTTTAAAGAGTGTGTGTTTGCATGTGTGTAGGTGTATTGAGGGATAACACATGAGCAGAATATGAAAACTAGACCTATTGTCTGGACAGAAGTGTAATGATGTATAATTAAGAATTGCCTAAAACAGCCGCATCCTCAGCTGATGAGACATGTGGTTATAGTTTAAAGAAAGGCTTTTTAATTGGTTTACCACACATGAGCCACTCATGAGTGAGACAGGAACAAACCCTGGAGGGATAATGGCGCCCAAGTTTGACTTTGTCAGAGGTTGATGAACTCACACAGTTGGTGTCATAGTAAATAGTGTCCCTTTGCTCTTTCCTATAGTGAAAGGAGATTGGTGATTTTGTATTTGTATTTAAAATATAATTTTATTTGTTATGTTCGTCCCTTTTTCTCTTTTGGTTTGCCCAAAACTAACGTGCCTCAGTTAATGGTTCGCAAAGGCCCGCCACAGCTTTCTGTTCTCACCCAACACACATGCAGTTTACTATGATAACAGTGGAAGATTTACCACTTGACATTTAATTCAGTCTAATTCATTTTTTAAACAATAGATCCCTGATTTCAGACACAGGTAGAAAATAAGTAGCTATAGCCAGTCAAGCTGAAATTATCTCCATGAACTGGTTGAAAACAGTCTCCACGTGACATTTTAATGTCTTAAATATTCACTTCAGGGCTACCTGATATAATGCTTAGACTGCATGTCAAAATGCAGCAAATGTCAGCATCCAGCACTGTTCATATATCACAGAGTAGAGCTAGTTAGTCCGTTAGTGAGAGAAATAGTTGCATTAAGAATGAAAAAAGAGAGCAGCAGTGAAACATTTGAAGGCCAAGAGACATCAGCTCTTAAATGGCACTATGCTGCAAAATCAATGAGTTACAATGGAATCACAATCAGAGGATCCACTTGAGGAGGCGAAATAAATCCGGGCAAATGTTATGAAGCTTTTCAACCATCCAACAAGCACTTCTGAGGAAGCGTGCTGGTGCTGGGTTATAGGACCAGTGTGTAAGATAACATAACGTAGTCTTAGCAGTCTGTTGAAGCCCTGCTGAGATTTTTGCCCTTTACTTCTTCCATGGCCATTGTCTGAAAAATGTCCATCTTCCACTTGGGGAAAAAATATCTCATGTCATGGTTGTGTTACAACTGGTGTGAAAGTAAGAGAAGAAAAACTCGCTGATATAATTCCTGGGAAGTGCAGTGTAATGATTCATTTGTCCTGAAATGAAAAAGCTGAACTTTGACAGGTCTGGTATATGTGATGATGAAAACCATTTCCCAGCGCAGTGAAAATGACGATCCTAAATATTAGAGTTTTACCACTGCCATTACAGACTGTATAACCATTGTCAGACTGCGCTGTCTTCTGTCATTGAAGATATGTGTTGTTTTCAACCACTCCAGGTCATTTGCTTTGCCCTTCACTGGACTAAAGGCTGTTTGTTGGAAAACATCCTCCTTTCGTAGAATGACACAGGTTGGGTGAGCTAAAGGTGAAACAGGCTCAGTTTCCTGTATTCAGACATACATGCAGCAGCGAAAGGTCCTTTCAAAACTAAATCAGTTAAAAACAAAAAGTCATCATCCTGTGTCTCTGCAATGCAACACTGATATAGTTGACTCAATCAAGTTTATCAGATGGTAAAAGCTATCCATTTGTGGATATAAACATTCTCTCCTTTATGAAAATGTGGCTGAAAATAATATATTTTTTAGCATTCAAGTTTATTCTTGAACCTCCAAAATCTAGAGCGTATGTTAAAAATTAGGATTTTCTGATATGTCTGAGGTTTGGTTGAGTTTAGGCAAATATATTAGGGAAAGACTGTGATGATGATAAAAGGGAACAAACATTGTAAAAGATATGAGTGAGGACTTATTGACTTATGAGGATTTATTATTATGGTAACTTGGGTAAGTTAAGTAACTCATAATCAACTAGTTAAGTATATTACACTCATATGCAGCATTTTTTCAAACTTATTTTAAATGTGTTATTTAACTGAAGAAAGTATGACTACCTTTAATGCATATTCTTTATGTTACCACTTAAATTTAGTTTCACTCAGTTTTCTTCCACTACGGCAAATTATTACATTACCTGTCGAAACAGCGGACGTATGACAAAAACTAAATAACTGACAATTACAGTTAATCAATTATCAAAATGGTAGCCAATTATTTTTGGGCTTTTGGGATTACATTTTTGTAATAATATAAAGTCAGCTTTATAGAAAATGAGTCAATGAAACAAACGTGAATTAAATTACCAATACTTAAAATACTGCACAAATGTAAGTGCCCTCAAAACAACTGATTTTTTACTTCAACAGTTATGAGTTGGGTTGAGTGACTCAAAATGGAGGATTAGGTTATGTTAGCATACTTCTTTTAATAAGATACATTGTTAGGATTCATTGTGGAAGAGCTGATGCAGTAGCAATTTAATGTTTAGGCTGATCAGAGTGGAGCTGAATTAAACTACTTTATGTTCTTTGGCTGTTTAATGTGCAAATTTTCTAATTCTACAAAGACATTTTTGACAATGATTTGAGTCTCTGAGTGTTGGCTTGAGTTCTAAAAACCTTTTTTTCTTTCCTACAAGTAAAAAAAACTCAGTGAAGGAAAGATTATTTTTATAGATATATTTTATTTAAATAAGCTTTCTAAAAAATACTTTAAACAAAAAGTTAAAACATGATAGAATGCAGGTCAATGCACAGGAGTTATTAAAATGAAAATACTTGAATTTGAATTTCAAATGATTAAGTATGACAACTTCATAATTGTAATACTCTATACACTTTATAAACTTTGGAATTCTATTAGTAGGATTTTTCAGATGTATTTTTTTATGTTTTCAATGACAGTTTGATGATGAATCAGGTAAATCAAGGGTGGTAATAGTGGTAAACAAAGTGAAACCAAGTACAGATGTGGACAGTGACACCTCACTCTGATCATTTATCTTATGTTTTATTTCAGTGGCTTTATTTCTCCAGTTTTACATATTTATTAACCAATATTTTATTGAAGAAAATGCAGCAAAATGTTGTAGATAGTCAGAGAAATAGTACAGAGAGCATCTATAGTTTTAACAATGTTTCTTCCCAGCTCAGAATAAACAGGTCGGTGACTGTTTACCCCCCATCCCAGAGTCCTCTTCTACAAGGAATGAAATGACAGTATGGTTGTATAAATAACAAATGTATATGTTACTAACATTGGAAGTGACTAAAAGTAAAAAGAGAGAGTGGCGAAAGACAGGAGAACATGTAAACTCATAATCAATCACACATAACTCCTCAGAGAGGGGCTGGGTGGCGGACATGCAGCAAAGTACTCACACACTCACAGACAGGCACAGAGCATTCCTCCACTGGGAAATTTTGCTAGCAGGCAGCTGATCAAAATAATCGATTGATGGTTGAAATAGAATCTATCAGAGCAACCTGGAAATGTAGACTTTTTCCAGTTTTAAGGACATCACATATCCACGATTAAGATGGATGGAGGCAGAGATGATTTCCACAGCAGGAGAATTCTTCTGCGTGCAATCAGGGAGGTGAAGGCAATTACATTAGTGTTAACATTTGTTTTGATGTTATCTTCTGCTGATCTCCCAAAAATGGCTCTGTGAGGAGAAGGAGACTTTTTCATCTGTATTATGTCAGACACAATAACACATTTTCTTACATCTATAAAAACAGACCAGTAAATGCAAGTTGTTTAAACTGTGCTTTTACTTTAAATGGACATCTTAACCGTTTAATAGAGGCTCATAATTGACTATAATAATGAACAAACTGTGTGGTTAGTTGAAATTAAAGCATTAATGTGCAAAATAAGTAGTAACCAGCTTGAGAAAATGTACTTACTTTCTACCACTGTAAACCAGTAGGCTGAAAGAAACAGACTCTGTCCCTCACTACTGGAGAGCAGACAGACCTGCTGGAGGATGTCAGATGGGCCTTCCACAGACATCAAAAGGAGATTAGAAATAGTGAACTTTAGGGGGCTTTTCATCCAGCCGGACTGATCCGTCTTGTCAACACAGACCATGTGAAAAGGTGTAATCTGGCCCCAGAGCAGGACTGTCACAGCTGAGCGGCTCCTGTCACAAAAGGTGTTGGCCTAACTGAGTGTCTCACACACACACACACACACACACACACAGACGCAGGGCTGAATGGATTTTAGCAGTGTCACTGCTCCGGCCTCTCCCGCTCGTTGACCTCCATTCTTCAATTACCACTCCAGGAATGTGCCAATTCTGTTGTGCAACACACTCCTTCACTCACTCAGTGTTTGAATTAGCTAATAGTTTATTGACTCTGGAATGCAGAGTGTCCCATATCATATTATGGTAAGTTCCCTCAGCGTATGTGGCTCTGAATAAGAATTTGCTATTTAAAAAACTTGTGTTAGAGACACACAGATATGACACATACATACAACTCACAGATAAACCGCTTATAAAAGAGAAATGATCATGAACCCATCCCCCTGCTTTGCCGTCAACTGTCTAATTTGCCATTCTGTAGGTGTGTTTACTCCTGCATGGTGGCACGATCTGTCACACTTGGAGGCCTTCAGCAAACAACCTGTCACACAGTCAAACAAAGACCATTAGCTTTTGCATTAGGGCTGCTGATGGATTGTATTAACCTTAATTTGGATGTGACAAAGACTGTTTTTGTGCATCAAATAGAAGAGAAGCAGAGGGATATGAGGTTTATGTTTGTAAGTCTCACAGCTATAGTACTTGAGTCTAGTATTAACAACACTTGTTTAACACCAAGTACTTTTCCATCTCTTATATCTTAAGTTGTCAAATTTGTTATTCCCTCGCCACACCACCATACTCTAATACCTTAAACACTTCGAGGGATTACATTGATGCGGAGCAGCCAGTCCTGAGTAGTTAAAGACTAAAGGTCAGAGCTTCTGCAAGCACCTCTGTGTTTCCTCAAGCATTAGTTTCACATTTGGATACAAACGTATAAACGGAATTTGTTTCAGCTTGTTCTGAACCTTCTTTTGTCCAGATGAGACTTAAAATCTAATCTTGCTGATGATGTAATATAATGTAATGATGCAGTCCTTCCACTGTGGATCGTGTTTTAGGTTCTAGTTCACAAGAGAAGCTGGATCATATTCTTTTAAGTCTATCAGAAGAGAAAAGGTTCGCTATTTTTTCTGTCTTTTCTGTTAAAATAATAGAAAGTTCCCCATATGAACACTGAAACAGCCTTTGCTTGTTGTAATCATTTCTACTGTTTATTCTGGACTCTGAGATATCCCTTCTTAATGCACTTTCAATGGAAGTGATGGTGGACAATATCGACAGTCCAAAATACTTCCAAAAGTTCATCTTGAATATCTTCTATATGAAGCTTCAGAGGTTTGGATTCAAGTCTCCCAAAGTCCTTTTCATAGAAAATTCCTTCTTTGTGTGTCCACAGACAGTGTTCCCTTGCTGAATTGAGGGTGACACGAAGAAGAAATTTCAGATTTAAAAGACTGGAATATACCCATCTGATTTGTCTAACTCAGATAGTCTCATACAGTAGTAGCTTCAGATAAACATTTGAATGTATATTTGCACAGAATGAGGACAGTGGGCCCTTTGATACACAAAAAAATAAAAACACAATTCTGTTTTAAAAAAGCATTTTGTTTGGTGCAAAATTAATGGCAAAGGTCCCGAAAGATTAAACGAGATATTTCCATAATACTGCACTTTACTGTAGTATTTGAAGTCCTGAGATGACAATGCCAGCAGTGGCATCAATTTGAGTTTGGGACCTGGCCTACACTATCGGCAATTAGAGAGAAACTCCACATTCTGTGCAAAAATACTGTCCGTGTGGAAAGTTTACCCGAAGCTAGTATGAGGCTTCAGCAGTCGAGTTAGCCAAATTGAGTCGTTACCTTCATGTCATTGTCATGTTTCGGCCTTTTGTTGGTGTTTCGTCCCAACAAGTATCTGTCCACCATGAGCAAGGAAACACAAAATAACTAATAGTTTCTTCTTCCTGTGACCTCCTGAGTGCACTGAGGTCATAGCACACTAGATCGGTTTAGGGTCGGTGGTAAGCTTTTGATGACCAATCAGTGTTCACAGTGGCGTACTCAGGCTGTCTGGGGGCACCAGCTGCATGTGGGCTGTCGCTGTCCCTGTCTAAAGATTTTCCTACTGGAATAGTAGTTGTTAGTTTAAGCCATTAGTCAACTTGTTGTCAAACCTTTAAATGACTCTAAATGTGTCGGACGGTAATTGAGGACTGTTCGTATGTATTCATTTTGAAAGAGCATCCCCAACACCAAATGACATCATTCATGCAGTTCATGTTCATACTGCTAGCCATAAACACCCAGGGAACTATTAACTATTTAAGTATTTAGAGGCACATAGAGGCCAGCTAATTTATTGGCATGGAGGGCAGCCTATATGGCACTGCATCTCATTTTCTTGCACGTTAGGCCACCGTAGAGGGCACTTTATCAACTTTTATTAACCACAGAGGCATCCAAGAGGGCACTTTTGCTGCGTTGGTTTCGAACATTGGGCACCAGGGGATGTGACTAATTTATTTAAATTAGGTCTTGAGTTACCCAATGATGTAAAAACTGATCCTCTGTATTAAAAGGAGACAGTTGAGGTGGTTTAGGTATCTGATCAGGATATCTCCTGGTCACCTCTTACAGATGTTTTCTGGGCATGTCCAAATAGAAAGAGATGAAGAGAGAGGATGTGGCTGGGAAGAAAGATTATGTTTTTTAAAAAGTGTTTTTAGTCTGCTGTCATCATGACCTGGATCCGGGTAAGTGGTGTAAAATGGATTGAGGTGTTGATCATCAGTGTTTCTGCTCATCGTGTACCTCCAGTCATTTTCCATTGTGAGGACGTAAAGCCATCATGAGCTTCAAGAATGCAAGCCCTTGCATAACCTTGAAGAGAGCAGTTCCAAAAGATGTGGGGTTAAACTACAAAGGCTGCCACTTTCAAACAAGATTCACACAAAGCAGCGCTATCCTAATGATTAACCTACTCTATCCTACACACACACACACACACACACACACACACACACACACACACACACACCACATTGTTCTGTTGAAGTGGAAAATACCTTTGTGGGCTCAAGTGTGTATTTTTGTAGAGTTCCATCTCAAGTTGAACTCCCTGCTGACAGCTATGTATAGGTTCCCTGTATTTGTTTCACATCACTGCAAAAGAACATCAAACACTTCAGTTACTCAGTATCAAGTTTCTGAAGATGGATTAAATCCAGCATGGGTTTGACCTCAGGAAGAGATCCATTGCTCTGGGCCAGCAGTTAATATCTTGAGAGCTGTTAACTTCTGAACACCTCAAAGTTTGAAAGGCAGACGCAGTTTTCTGCCCACTGATTCACTGAGGCTTCATGTCAGGCCAAAGTTGTTTTTCTGACTTTTATTTCAAGGCATACTTTTTAAAATGTGACTACTCTCAAAGGAGTGTATCCTATTACAAAATAACATGTGCACCTCATTGATCTGCTCGACAATATTTTTAAACTGGAATATCATATTTTACTTACCAAGAGTGGCTTAAGATTCATCCTGGGTGGCAATCCATCCATTAGTTGGTGAGATACCAAAGAACACAAATGTCAACTGTTTTCTGTGCAAGACATGAACAGTCAGGGAATCACAGAAGTCATTAGGACACATCATCTGGGGATCATGAATGTCAGTTACTAATTTTGTGCCAATGCATCCAATAGATGTTAAGATTCACCAAAGTCAGTAGGGTTCATTCTTTGGGCACCATGGGTACCTGTAGGTCATCACTATGAAATCTCTGTACAGACTGTCATGGCAATCCATCCAATAACTATTATATTATATATACAGTATATATTTCAGTCTGGACTCAAGCGGTGAACTGAGTGGCCGATCGACATACATTGCCATTCAAAAAGCTGTGCTGCTAGCATGGCTACAAATGACAAATACAAAAAAAGTGCAATCTGTAGTTCGAACAGCAGACCCAGAGCCAGTGACAGTAAGATCTTGTGTTTGAACGGAGAGCTCTGGGTGCAAGCAACATGGAGGGAAGTTAAATATTGTTCATTCTTGCATTGTAATGATACAAATATTCCCTTTAAGAAGGTTAAGAGGCTTGCAAATGGCACACTCCAGCTCCAACCTACATTACAGTTACAACTTTGACAGTATTAATAGTTGGTGACTCATGAAAGAGTACTCCACTGATTTAGTATTACACTCCTACACTGTCAGAGTAATGATGGACGAAGTATCAAAATCGATGGGGCAGATATCATCAGTTTTATTCCATGCATTCTTCTTAATGTCAAAACCTACATTACCAGGGCGCCCGGTTAGCTCATTCGGTAGAGCTGGCGACCCATAGCCTATACGGAGTTACTGCAGTGGACCGGGTTCGAATGCTGCGTGTCATCCCCCCTCTCTCTCTACCCCCCTTTCCTGTCAATCTTCAGCTGTCTCTATCCAATAAAGGCATGAAAAAGGCCCCAAAAAAACCCCACAATGCAACAGGTTGGTCAGGGATTCAGGTGTGTTATTCTATGCTATGGGGGTCCGAAAGCACACTGGTTGAACAGGTGGATGGTTTTCATATCAAAAACAACACTGTCAACAAAACGTAATACATAAACCATTAAATGATTTGCTCCAATAAACAAATGCTATAAGTAGTTAATCAACATCCAGGAGGGTATAGTGGAGGATCAGGTATCATTCAGGTAACCACACATTTCCTTTTCATAGTTAATTTTGCCTTATGTTCACCTTTTATCTATATGAACATGAAACGTGAGAAACACCTTCTCACGAAAAGACAACCCAGAGAGCATAAAGCCTTCTGGTTTGATTGACACTGGTTCCAGATGGGAGGGTCGATTCCACTTTAGCTAAGTCCCGCCTCACACTGTGTAACTTGCTGGGGACTTGAGGCTATAAAATGAAGGAACTTACTGTAACCGGGACGCATTCTGTAGTTGGAGTTCCCTTTGTGAACTCCTATGCAGAAACTAAAGTCAGTCCAATGCTTTAATCAGGGCGCACACAGAGAGATATCGCTGTCGGTTTCCTCTCCTTTTCCAAGCTGAAAAGATTTCATCCAGTCGCCGGGTAGAGACAGAGCAGAGCCATGGCAGGGGACGGGTCGGACCAGCGGGCGCTGCAGTATGAACAAACTCTGGTAAGTTCGATTTGTTGAACTTTGTTCACTGGTCACCCAGTTATGTGCAGCCCTTTTGCATGGACAGGGAAGCCAGACTCCATTGACAAGTCCTTCAACTTAACGCTGCCTGGCTGCCTGGCTACACACGTCTGGTACTAGCTAACTTAACATGATAGCAAGCAGTGAGGACGAATTAGGGTCATAAGTTAGACTTTAAATTGAAATAAACGCATGCTGGTGTCATATGTGTGTGCCGAATCAAAGAGTGTGTGTCTGTGAGTCGGGAAGTTTCTACTGGAGTGTGTGTATGTGCCGACAACCAAGGGTCAGATATAAGTTGTCAGATGTTAAACGTAGTTCCACCTCCCTGTACGCTCACGTGAAAGTGACCGAGGTTTGTGTTGTCGGAAGCCGCAGTGTTTGGCTCATGTGTCTCTAAGTCCTCAATTTCCCTTTTGTATACTTGTGAAGAGAGATAAGTAGCCAAGCACTCGTTTCTAAACTGTGTAACACAACACGTTGAATATCTTTAGCCACTAGCTTTTACACCAGTATAAACAGCGAAGGGGCTGTCATAACATCTGGATTTGGCTGTCCGGATACAGGTAGTCTTGTCTCCTGTATGGCGAGATTTGGACCAAACTCCTTTGACAAAATTCCACACGCTTTAAGAAAGCCGTGTATGTTGTCGTCAACCCACATTAGAAAATGACTTTATGCCTGTTTTTTAATTTCATAAATTTGCACATAAGTTCGGCGTAGTAATTATTTTATGAAGCATTTAATTATATATAAAAAAATATCAGCTTTTCCAGCCGGTTTACCTTTTTCATAATCGTCTTGGTCGAACCAGAAGACGCCATGGTGGGCGGTAGCGAGCAGTGTGAAGGTTTTAAAAGTTGAAATTTTATGAAAGAAAGTGCTGCTTGCTGCTTAATAGATGAGCCGAATTCAAAGTAAGCTCTTAATGATTTGTAAAAGGCCTGGGGTCATGTTTTGTAAGATGTGCATATTATCTAAAAGCAAATTAGCTCTCCCTTAACAGATTTCTGAATGTGATTTTGTTTATTAATCAGAACCATGATTTGAGGAAGTGGTCTAATCTGTCTGCCATCATAAATTGAATATGTACTACATGTAAGAGGCCGATGTCATCTTCCCACAAACAGTACAGTGGTCACTGGGGTTACTGTATGTGTCAGGAGCTCAGTATGTGTAGGCTGCATTGATATCAGCCACCACCATCCAACAATGGATCAATTCATTGTTGTTCTGGAGCTTGGGTGCTGAGAAAAGCTGCTGTGTACATGTTCATGCATAATGTGTTGTAAGATGATATGCATCTAACAGTTGTGCAGGTGTCCAGTGCTGTGCTTTCTCAGCTTTATGCAGGGTCCCCAAAGTGCGAACAGTGATTGAATCTGAGCTTAGACTTTACAAGTTACTGTATAACCATTACACAAGCTATTTCCTTTTTAGCTTACATAACCAGCAGGTAGTTGTTGGTATTCAGGTGGTCTTGTTGAAGGTGAATCCGTTAAGTGAACGGTGTGACATTAGACCAGTTTTATACAGCAGGGGGCTCTCAAACATTTGTCACAGTCCCTCAAACAGGCACAGATCAGAGCCCTCAGAGACCCACTGAACAATTTTCTCATTGGGATCTCATTAGGGCTCAAAACTAATAAAAATAATAGAAATATTATTGAAATTGCAATATGGCCAAATGCAATATCAAAATCGCAGAAGCTCCAATTTTTTGATAAAGGTAATATGTGTGACATCACAGCGTTATAATGAGGTACTGTAGTGCTGCAGAGACGCCCTGGCCTACAAATCTTATCTCAGATGAACATGTTATTTTGGTTCAGACCCCACAAGATATATCACACCATCAGGATTTTAATAGTTTCTTCAGTGACAATGAAAATTGTGATGCAAAAATGATTATTCCCACTAACTGTGAATTATATAAATATCGCATAATTTGTCAAAAGCAGCCCTAATCTCCATAAGAGCTGTAAATTAAATTAATATTTAGCAATGAATTGCATAACATGGGAGATAACAGTGGTGAGGGATTAACAAATGATTTCATTCTCATACATTCTCTAATAGGTATAGTGAATTATAATTTAGAGAAATTACACTGTTCATCATTTTGCTTCTCCTAAAGGACCTCCTGAGGGGTCCAGAGCCCACTTAGAGGAGCATGGATTTGCAGTGTGACCCACGGGACAATTAAGGGTGGGGTTTGCACTGAGAGTCCAAGTACTCTGTGTGTGTGTGTGTGTGTGTGTGTGTGTGTGTGTGTGTGTGTGTGTGTGTGTGTGTGTGTGTGTGTGTTTTGTGTCTTATTGAACTTTTCCTGACAAACTTCTGTCAAGCCTAAAGAATCTGCTATTTGGAGAGACTAGTTTTATAGGCCAACTGGCCCCATTCAGTGGCAGCGAGGCTTTAAATTAAGAAGAGCCACAACTGTAACACTTCTTTGGGCCTCTGTTTCCTTTTCTTGAAACAGTTTCTTTGTAAAGAGCCCCCCCCCGACTCCCTCACCCGCCTCCCTGTGTGCTGTTAATCTGTGTGTGTTTGTGTGTGAGAGATTACACAACGTGTGTCCCGCTGATTCAGCGCTGGACGCTCTGTCACCCTGGCGGGGTCTCGTGCTCGGCCCTCCGGCTCTCTGACAGGAACGTGCAAGCAGCTCTCTCTGCAAAAAATCCATCCAGCACCACCTTTCTTGTTAATCTCAGCTCACCCTGCTGTGCTCGGATGATTGTTACATGAACAAAATTGTGAAAGCAATGTAAATAGAATCAAATAAAAATAGCTACAGTGTGAGAATAACCTCTTTTAACATAAATGAGCTCTCTCTGCCCCCCATCTCCTCGTCGTGGGTTGTAGTAACATGGTGTCTTTGTGTGATATTGGCAGTCTTGGTGGTTGTGTGGGTTTGTTGTGGGCAGTGGATGCTCAAAGAGGCCAGTGTAGTTTGGCTGTGAGAGAGGCTGAAAGGCTGGCTACAGAAATGTTGGCAGGGCCACGAGTAAAGAGCACTTGCAAAATGAAACCAGCCTCAACATATTGTCTGTTAGCATCAGACTGATGCATCAGTTCGTATTGGTATAAAGCTGATTTTAGTTTTGTTGAGAACCAGCTTGTGCTCGTTCGCAGGACGCGATGGACACAATGCTGTTTGAGCATTTACGCGCAATTACATAACATGCACATATTTACCTCTATGCTAAAGTATAAAGTTGGATTACAGGCTACACATGTTTTTATGATTTTTTTTCAGTGTCCCATGATCCTCTTAATACTGTTGCAGGGCTTTTTAAAGATTAAAAGAGGAAAGAATTTTTGAGTTAGAAATTTTTGCCATTTAAACAAGACCCAAATATCAGCCAACAGCAGCTACACACAACATACAGTAAACCATAATACAGCAACAACGGTGCAAAAAAATGAATGTGCAAGATGCTAAAAATTTCAAATAAGACCTCGGGTTGGCCTTCAACAGTGTGTGACAGTGAGTTGTGTGTTTCGGCAATAAGCCTGGAGAGGCTTTGCATTGTTTGTAAAGTGTCATTCAGATCCTGAAACACTGTTCACTTTCAGAAGATCCCTACAAATCCCAGTCCCTTGCAGAGCCACTAGTTGCACACTGCTGCTGTATGTAACTGGTGAAGAAAACTTTCCAAAACATAGACAGTCAGTATTATTTTTTTCTGACAAACAAAAAATGGCGGACATAAGTTTTAGGTTGGCATAAACTTTGTGTGGACACAGGTGTTTTCATAAAAACACGGTGTCCTCATATCATTAAACAATAAATGGAGAGCCTTGTGATCAAAGGTATAGTTTTATTAGGTGTTGTACAATTGCTTCAATTGTGACCCAGTCACAAGGGTGAATGAGAGGCTAATATGTATGACATTTTATGTAGCTTGGCAGTTTTCCTAAGCAATGAAAAGCAATATTGTAAGTCAGTATCGCTCCAAAAATCATGTACAAGCGAGGAAACTTTTTGAACAGAGAACAACACTCGATTGTTGTTTTCTGCAGCTATAAACTGTCTTATAGTGTTTTTGCTTTGTCCCAGTTCAAATCTGAATCTTCACATTATATCATATCTCATAAAACTAATATTTTCCAAAGATCTAGTTTGTAATCTTCTGCTTGCTGTTCATATGTTTGACAAATGCAAACTACTACCACCTTGGATAGTACTGTATTTCTGTGCATTTATCCAGTACAAATTGCTGAAATGCTCTGGGGTGAAAGATTTGTTCCCCAGTCGATTTTAGTCAACCTCTTAACATGGTTATGGTGGTTATCACGGTCTGGTCGGGTGTCTACATCGCAGGTGTCTCCATTGCAAATGAGTAAGCAGGTACCAGACACCTACAGCAATTTTACTTATAACTTGGGTTGAACAGTGTTTTTAGTTCAAACCTCTACTACAAATTATGACGGCAGATTTTTAATAATTAACAGGATAATCATAATGACCCCAAACATGGGATCTAAATGATATGCAAAGCTCTTAAAGGGGCACTCCACCAATCGAGATCATAGGGGATACCACTCAGCCTGTAACAGCTGTATGATGTCTCCTCATGTGGCTCTGGAAGGAGCTTTCCAAAGTCTGAAAGATAACCCTGATGACATTATAAGGGTTATCTTTGATTGGGCCAGGAGACGACAAACAGACGATAACAGAAAGCCTGTGTTACAAACTGGTGGCAGGAGTTCAAAAGGCATAGGCATTCTCTAGGAAGGATTCTATCATGTTGCGTTAGGAGAACTGTAGGATCCAATCTCTTTTGGAGCATGGCTGCAAGTGACATTTCATTGTTGATTAATCAAGACTAAGAAAACCATCAGATATACATTTGATGATTTGGATCCAGTGAATTTGTAATATTTGCTTTTTAATCTGTCTGTCGATTGACAAATGATCCGCTCCATCCATACAGGATTAAAAGACTCTGCTGAATTGATTTTTGAACATTCTT